CATTTGCTTCTCTTTTGTTTTGAAAATGTCAAGTGTTTGTTGTCTTCTTACTCTGTCTCCGACTAACCAAACAGCATACTTGTGTGATTACATAAACACAGATCAACACAAGAAGAGAACCAAACACAAAAACCCGAAACGAGACCGGTTCTTCGACAGGAGACATAACCGCTAAGTACACACAATCTCGTATAAGAACAATCCATGCCAATCCTTCAACTACATTTTTAACCACCATAACCTTCTTCCTCTTTGCTTCTTCTCTGCATAACTTGCATATAATCCTCAAACACAAAGCACCGACCACCAAAAACGTTGTACTAGACCATCCTCGGTAAGCAACAATCTTCCCTCCAACTATCAATGGTTCTTTCCTGCAAATGCAAGACTTGCAGACTCCAGAAAACGTCGAAGTGACCAGAGCATCGAAGCCTGTATAGTAGGGGAGAATCACAGCGTCTAAGTAAAGACTCGCGTGGAGAATTCCAGAGATAGTAGAGGCTTCGAAGAACACAAAGCTTGCTTCTTTTTCGATATTGTTCTCGAATATAAGCACCGAGAATTGAACTAGCTGCAGTATTGCAGGTCCAAAGATGGAAATTGGGAAAAGGGTATTGATTCTTTGACCTTTTGCAAAGATCAAGAGGATCAGAGGAAGAGAGACTGGACCAGAAGGAAGTAAGTACCTTTTTGCTTTATCATCATAACTATCACCATTATCAGCATCTTCTCTTCCTCTTCTTCTTGATATTACCTTCTTTAACACGGCGATTAGCGTCGTCAAGTAAGAAAAAGTGATGAAGAAGAAAACTAAAACGTCGATGATTTGAGGGTAGTCGCCGGGGTAGAGACTGTCACAGAAGTAGTGGAAAGGACAGTTAATAGGATCAAGAGTGTCTTCGAATTGCCACTTTATGCATTTGAAAAATGTTAGCTTTCGATCCGAATCTGTTTCCCATTCTGAATTCATAGTTTGGGTTTGTTTTCTCTATGTCTGTTTTTGGTTTCCTTGCAAGCTACACATAGTTAATGTGTGTATATATGCATACATCATTTGGTTGGTTGATTCCCTTTCATTGTCTTTGGTTTAGATGCTTGAGCTGAAGGTTACAATGGATAATGAAACTCTATCTGAAAATCTGATACCTATTCTTTGAGTTTTGTTAATTGATTTAAAATCAACCTTTGAGAGAAATTAAAGAGGTTTTTTTTGGGTTTCTAAGTTTGTAGTTTACTTGAGTGATGATTGTGCCTAAGTTTAAATATTGTCTTTGGGAAAATTTGTTATTAGAGTAGTGTGTGTGAGAGAGAAGCCTTTATTTCTAAGGGAAGTAAAAGTTTGGTGTGTGATTGATACTGAATATTTTTTATTTATTGTTAGTACCATAATGACGTATTTAACTGAATTCGTTTATTAGTTGAAAACAAAAATCCTTTTAACGTTTTGAAACTCCTATTTTCTGAATAAAAAAAGGTAAATGGATATTTAGACCAATGGGCTTTTGCTCTACAATTGTTAATGGGCTTTTCCGGAAATTAATTTCTTACAAACGACAATAATTCGTGTGTGACAGCAAATTATATTAAGTTTCATGCTAATAAGAATAAGAAGATCGTGTCAGCTAATCGATTAGATTTTGACATGTGTTAAAAGGTACAATTATATTTTACCACGTGTCAAACAATTTTTTAAAATTAAAAATTATTTGTTTGTATTTATCAATTATATATTTTAATTTTAAAATAAAAATAGATAAAACAATAAATCAAATACTTTTTTCTATTGAAATATTATAATATACATGTAATTTTCCAGTTTCACTAGATTTATGTTTAAATATCCAAATTTTCACATTAATTTAATACTTCCATTCTACACAATTTAAAATTTCAATAATATTTTTCATAAAAATTATTTGTTTTGACTTTTCATTAGAAAAGATAGATTATTATATTTTCCAATATGTGAAATAGAATACGGAAATATATATTAGTTTTATGAGCTTAATATGATTCATTCTAACTCGATTTTTTGTTTGTTGTTGACAACATTGATATGAGGTGTAGTAATTTATTTTTCTACTTTGTTCTTGATTTTTACGTCTAATAATTACTAAAATGGTAAAAGTAAAATTAGGATTTTTATACAAGGTAATTAATCTTATCGAGGCATGTTTGAGTCAATTGGTTAGATTTATTCAAGTATAAAATACTTTTTTAATTAGATTTAGCCACATTTCAAAAAAATTATCTACTTAAAAATAATAATATCTTGATTTGGTAAATAGTAAAATGTAACCTTACTTTAAATATGATTAGAAATGTTTAACTATTTGAATATTTGTGGTATAATTTAGTTGAAAATCAAACAATATAAACAATAAAATATAAGAATACAATAGATAAATATTTGATAGATTTCTATATAAATGATTTTGTAATAACGTTTTCAATTTTATTTTATTATTTAAATTGAATGATCTAATTTTATCTTTTGTCTTTTCGTTTTTGATTTTTGCAAGTTATAAAATATTCAAAAATAAAAATAGTTCAAATATAAATATCATAAATAATCCATCAACATTTTCAGAAGTAGATATTTGAATATTTTATGTTAACGGGTGATCTAATTTTGTTTACCATATTTAAATATTTTATTTTTTTTATAGATTTTTAAAATATTAAATTATAAACTCGCATATACGCGGATTCTTCATCTAGTTATTATATAAACAACTAAAATTAATAATTCTTTTGAAGTTGTTAACCCAACGTTAATATTATTTTATGCGTTGACAAAATCGA